TCTTTTTTGCTTATGGATGTTTATTTACTTCAGAATCACTTGTTGAAAGCCTTTTTTCCACTGAATTGCTTTAGCACATTTATCAAAAATATATTGGGCATATTTGAGTGGGTCTCCTTCTGGATTCTCCATTCCGTTTCTTTAATATGTGAGTCTATCCTTTTGCTAATTCCATTTGTTTAGGTCTTCTTTGATATCTTTTTATCCGAGTTGTGTAGTTTTCCAAATAGAACCTCTATATATGTTTTCTTAGAGTTTTACCGATTTCATTTGTATGCAATTGTAAATGATATATTTTTAATTTTAGAGTCCATATGTTTATTGCTAGTGTCTAGAAATACAATTGGTTTTTGCATGTTTATTTTGAATCCTGAGACCTTGCCAAACTCACTTATAGTTCTGATTCCACCAGCAGTAATAAGGACTTGTTTGACCCCTCACCACCTGTCGAAGGCCAAGTGGTGAGCCTGGACTTCTACCCTGACCTGAAAGTTAGAAGGTGGCAGACCCCTCTTACCCTGCTCAAATGGTGTCCTTATTACTGCTGGTGGGATGGGGACTCCAGTGGTGGGGGTGTCTTCATTACTGCTGGCTAGTGGTGAAAGTTCTTATACTCTGTGAGGCTTCCTCTCACACATTCCCATTGGAGAGTGAAACATGTACCTCCTTACTGCTGGGTAGGGGTGAAACTCCAGGCTACCCACATTGGGAAGAAAATTAACACATTTTGGAAAGGGGCATCAGAGAAAAGAGATCTAGAGACCCTTATTTGGCCTAAGAGCTGCCTCCTAGTCATAGTAGATGAAAATCCTGGCTCATTCCTTGGCTTTCACTGACACCACCCCAATCAGGTGGTTGGTGTGCCTTGTGACACAGCCTTCTGATGTTAGAAGTTGAAGTTCTGTAGTGGGCTTTCTGTTGTGGGTGAAGTGGGGTCACATTTCCCCCCACTACCCCCTTAGCGTTTGGCTGGAGTAGAGCCATTATTGTCTATAAGTTTTGTTTTGCTAGGTTGCTTTTTTCCTGTTTTTCTGGCTAGGGATAGCACACTTTTCTTGGCCCTATTTTTGTCTGCTCCAGTTGGTGTTTCTGGGTTGTAGGCTTCTTCGGTTCCAAGTCTGGGATGCATGAGTCAAAAAGAAAACCCATGGAATTCACTAATGTGCTATTTCTCAGGTCCTAAGTCCCTATCTAATCTGGCTTCTTCTCTTTACATTTTGGAGTCATTTTTATTTTACATATAATGTCCAGGATTTTTAGTTGCCCTCAGTGACAGGAATAGGGTAAAAGTATGTCAATTCCATCTTCCTGGAAGTGAAAATCTCTCCTTATTTTTTAATATTGACAACTAGCAAAACGAAAATTAACACATTTGGAAAGGGGCATCAAAGAAAGATCTACAGACCCTATTTGGCTTAAGGGTGTCTTTTTGTGATTTCCATGCTAACAGAAGGGCATTTAAGGAATAAGAATCTTTACTTGCGTAGGGGGATGTGGTCAGGAGGTATAGTGGGGAAAAGGGAGAGAGAGAGATAACGTTGGAACTTGGGGATCCATGTGGCATGGCTTAGAAAGCAGACACCTCTAAAACAGACCACAGCAGGTCTCTGGGGGAGCATTCCTGGCTTCTGGGAAAACTTTAGTGCTTGAAATCCTGCGTTCAAGTTTGTTGGGGTGCGGCAAAACTAAAAAAAATTATTTACTGAAAAGAAAACTGCTCTTCTGATTATAAAATTAATATAGTTTCCTGTTGGAAAATTAGGAAAACACAGCCAAGAAGAAAGAAGGAAATCATATTTAAACCCTTTATCCAGAGACTACTGTTAATATTTTAGCATGCTCCTTTCATTCATTTTTAAAATCTGCCTATCATGTATGTAAATGATGCTGTGGCTATTCTTTTTGCATACTTTTAACTACTTTTTTCCACTTTAATTATATCATAAATGTATTCCCCTGGCAATGAATATTTTGGAGAGAGCATGACTTTTGATAGCTTCATTGTATTTCATTATGTGAAATTTAGCAACAGTTCTACCGTTAAATGTTTTGTTGTTCATAACTTTTCATTATTATAAATAGTGCTGTGATGAGAATGTAAGAAATGTTTGGCCACATGTCTCATTAAGTTTTAGAACTGGGATTACTTGAGCAAAAGGCATTTAAGGCTTTTGATTTGATTTTATAATTAGATTATTCTCCAGAAAGATTACCAATTTACATTCCCACCAGTGGTATGTAAATTTCTGCTACAATGCACTCTTGTAGGTACTGAATGTTATCATTTAAAAAATCTTCACAAATTTAAAGGCAAAAGGTATCATATTATCTAATTCATATTTATTTTATTAGTAATTGCTATTAAAATTAAATATCATTTCTCTTTTTCTGTCTTAACTTTTTTCTGATAACTGCTTTTTGTTATTTGTACATTTTTTTTCTGTTGTGCTTTTCTACTTGCTTGTTAGATGTATTACAAGGATGGTTCTCAAGTTTGTCATTGCCTTTTAATTTTGTTCGTGGTGATTACTTTTGACATAGAGCAGTCTACAGTTTCAAATCTATTATTATTTCCTTGGATTCCTAAAGAGCTTTTGGGCTTGGGGGTCCTTCTGTACCAGTCCAGTTTTATCTATTACTGCATATCAAGTGACCTCAAAATGTAATAGCTTAAAACAACCCCTTTATTATATTTTATAATTTTTGTAAGTTAAGGATTTGAGCAGGGCTCGGCTGGTGGGTTTTCTGCATTACTTGTGGTGGTGACAGAAGTCATTCAATGTTAATTACCTGGTGGATGGGCTAGTTTGGAGAGTCCAAGGTGGAGTAGCTCACGTGTCTGGAAACTTGGTGGGGATGGTGGGTCATCCAGTGATCTTGGGGTAGTTAGAACCTTTACTTGGCAGCCCAGGACTCCAAAAGCAAGTGTTCTAGGAACCAAAGAGGAAGCTGAACCAAAGAGGAATGCCTTTTATGACAAAGCCTTGGATGTTAGCTACTCTGTTGGTGAAAGCAGTCTCAAGCCTACTCACATTCAATTGGGTTTCATGGAATATGGTATAGCATGGAATCTGTGGCCATATTTTAAAATTGCTACAGCAGCCCAAGATAAGTTAAATACACACTTAAATTTTCTTCTAGCTTGTTTATGCCCCTCTGCCTCCTCCTGCCCCTCCTTTCCTTCCTTCTCCTCCTCCCCTTTTCTTTCTTTATAGAAATATTAAATCCTTAATCCATATGGAGATCATTTAATACAGATTTATAATGAGGTTCAAATTTGAATTATTTCCCTAGTAAATGGTTTCACTGTAATTTTTTTGTTGTTGTTGGATAATCGTTTCTTTATTGACAGCTGCTGACTTTTATAGATACTAGTGACTGTGTGAATGTTCTGTTAATGGAAAAGAAAATGCCCTTCATGCTTTATGATTCGTTTTCTAGCACTGGTCTCCCTAGTCCAGCTTTCAGTCTGAGAAGCAACCAAGCACACTGCTGATGCTGGGCTAGTCAGTGAGTGTCTGGCTGGCTTACTTTCTCTGGGTGGCTTGCTTTCCAGATGAACTTCCTTGGCTAGAAGGACTCTGCAACTCGGGGCCTGATTGTTGACTGAACTTAGAGGGGCTCCTACTTTTCAATCTACTCAAAATAGTAGGCTCTGGTACTTTTGAGAGCTCTGTGTCTTGGGCTATTGCCATGGCATGTATCTGAGGTAGTTTTGTTGTTATGATTCTAAGTGTGATGGTTCCTGCAAAAGATTATTTCTGAGATGAAGTAACTTGACTGTTTCTAAGGAGGAGAGCATTAACTCATTTCATTAACATACTAAGCTAAAATTGGAGAGAAAATCCTGTACCACAAGAAGGTTTCCCTACAACCTCTCCCTCTATCTGAAGGTCTTATCTCCACTCAACATTCCTCCACTCCAGAAGGACCTTCTGACCTGGCCGCCAGCTTCCTCACCCACATCTCGACTTCCTCCTTTTTACCTCTACTATCACCAAGAAGTGCAGAGCTCAGCCCTATCGTCAGAGCTCTTGAAATGCTAAATTCTGCTTGATCATTCATTTTATTAACAACTACCAACACTATTGCTGTTGTTGTTGCTGCCATTCACTTGCCTATGTACCCTATAATCTGCTAGCTTTACTATAATAATTCCATCCAACAGTTCGTTGAGATAGCTACTAGTATTCCCTTTATTTATTTATTTTTTGAGACGGAGTTTTGCACCGTTGCCCAGGCTGGAGTGCAGTCGTGCAATCTCGGCTCACTGCAACTTCCGCCTCCTGGGTTCAGGTGATTCTTCTGCCTCAGCCTCCCAAAGAGCTGGAATTACAGGTGCTTGCCACCACACCCAGCTATTTTTTTTTGTATTTTTTTTAGTAGAGATGGGATTTTACTATGTTGGCCAAGATGGTCTCAAACCCCTGACCTCGTGATCCACCCACCTTGGCCTCCCAAAGTGCTGGGATTACAGGCACGAGCCACCGTGCCCGGCCATATTCCCATTTTTAAAAATGAGTAGATGGTGGTTTAGAGATGTGGAAAAATATGTTCAGGCTGTGTAGTTAGTAAATGATGGATCAGGACTTTTAAGTCTGGTAGTCTGCTAACTTTTAGACACTGTGTGTTTCTTCCTCCCTTCTCTCATAGTAATCCCCAGTTCCTAACTGTAGATTGGTATTTCCACTTCTCCCTGTAAAAGGGCCACACGCTGCTGATATCATGGGTCACAGGGAGGAGTATCTATTTGAGGACATACAATCCCTGTCTGGCAGGGACCCACATTTGAAACTCAGTCTTCCTGAAGGTTTACTTACCTGATCCCTCTGTTTCCAGCCAGCTCTTGCTGAGGGGTAGGAGCCTTATTCTCTTAGACAACACAGAGTGGAGACGTGCTTTAGGTAATTGGCCTGCCCTGTGAAAACTCCTTGCTGTTTTCTCAGGTGAGTTTGTTTGTAATTGAACTGCAGCTCCGTGACTTACTGCTTCTTTTCCAGGCTCTTATAGGGTAAATTTGCTTCTGTGGCCTGAGTCCAGAACACACCCTAGTCTTCTCCGAAGAGAAGCAGAGTCAGGGAAGGAAGAGATTTTGTAATGTGGACAGTGTTCAGTGTTCATCGCTGAGGAATTGAGCGTCAGTTTGCATTCGTCATGGGCTGAGGACCCCGCAGCTGTTGGAAGGCCAGCAGCAGTGTAAAGGTAAGACTGAATGGTGAGGACTTCCTGGGATGGAGGAGGTAGAGAAATTAAAGGAAGCTTCCTGAGGTTATGCCCCTTTGCTCCCTGTGTTCATTTACTGGAGCTGCCATAACAAAATACACAGCCTGGTTGGCTTAAACAACAGAAACTTACTATCTTACAGTATTGGGGGCTGGAAGACCAACACCAAGGTGTCTTCAGGTTTGGTTTCTCTTGAGGCCTCTCTCCTTGACTTCTCCCTATGTTTTCACATGGTGTCTCAGTTGTGTGCCCTTGGTATCTCTTTTTGTGTCCCAATTTCCTCTTCTTATAAGGACAATAGTCAAAATGGATTAGGGCCCACTCTAATGACCTCATTTTAACTCAGTCACCTTTTAAAGGACCCTCACTCCAAATATAGTCACATTCTGAGGTCCCAGTGGTTAGATCATCAACATGTGACTCTTAGGGGGAACATAATTCTGCCTAAAGTACTCCCTTATCGGCCCTTCTGAGAATACCAAGCAGTGGAGACCTAAGCTTTGAGCACCTCTGGTCCTGCCAGACCTCAGAGAGCATGAATGGGAGAGAGACTGGCCAACCTAAGGTTACATAAATGAATAATGAGTCACCAGTGAGCAACAATTTGATCATAAAATTTTTTGTTTAATATAAATCTTGGCAAGGGAAACTTATTGGCATGTCTTCAGGGCCATACAGTTCTCTTACCTATTTATTTCTTTTGCAAGGAATTAGAAGTTTTCAAGCTAAAAAAAAAAAAAAAAAAGAAAAAAACTAAATCTTTATGAAACCTTAGCAGAGTCTCTGGGGAAGTTGTGAATTGTGTGTTTTTGTCCATTAATAAAAGTATTGTATTCTCCAGAGGGAGGCATTGGTCAATTTTGTAACAGAGACTGAAATTGATGCCAAATATTACCATTTCACTCTTGACATTTATCTGGAATTAGGATGTGTACAAACCTTGTGACCTAGCATTACAAGAAGATTTTGTTTGTTTTGCACTGGTGAGCTTACTTTAACCTCTTCTATACTAGAAGATTTTGGTAGTGCTTTGCTTCTGTTGCAGCCCATATGGGTAATGATTATAAAGTCATCTTATGCTAATGCTTTCGAAAAGGCTTTATCTCTGCAACCAAATTGTAGCTCTGATTAAGAAGGGTCCTTGTCTTACATTGGCTTATTTTGCTAAGCATAAAATTGGAGTAATTTTACTCATTACCTGCTACTTAGAGGTCAACATGTCCAACCTCCTCTGTTGCAGACACTGTTGGTTGCCCACCAGGGAGTAATTTCCCCCTTTCTACCTTTCTATCAACACCCTGATTTTAGTAACCCTCCTTTGAGGGGTCATGTTCTTTTTAAGAATTGGTCTCTACCCAACCATAGATGGTAAATCTCCATTGGTTTAGGCCAATTTATGGTGGCCTTTTCTTGTCTGGTGATTGTTTAATCAGGGGTAAACTATGCCGATTCTTGACAAGGAAAGATAGGGGGACATCTGATGGAGGGGCACAAGATTAGAACATTCTCTTTTTCTGCCTCTGAAGATTGTTGATAGCATATGAGACCTGACCCACAGAAGATCTTAGGACTGTGGAGGAAAACTGCAGAATAGCTGGGCTGGACCCATGCTGTATCTATGTCAGCGAATTAATCCACCTTGAAATTGCTCTACCTCTACACTTCATGTTATGCACAATAATAAACGTCCTTATTGTTTAAGCTACTTTTGGTTAGGTCTTCTATAATTTGCTACCCAAATCATCTTACACAGACTTTGTTCGGAAAGTTGACGTTGCCTGGGAAGCTGAGTGTCTTGGTCCATTTTGTGTTGTTGTAAAGGAATATCAGAAACTAGGTAGTTTATAAAGAAAAGAGATTCATTTGGATCACAATTCTGATGACTGAAGAGTTCAAGATTGGGTATTTGCATCTAGTGAGGGCCCCAGGAAGCTTCCACTCATGGTGGAAAGTGAAGGGGAGCCAGCATGTGCAGAGATCACATGGTGAGAGACAAAGCAAGAGAAAGGTTGGTGGTGCCAGTGTCTTTTAAACAAAAAGCTCTCATGGGAACTAATAGAGTCAGAACTCACTCACCTCCTAGGGAGGGCATTGCTCTATTCATGAGGAATCCACCCCCATGACCCAAACACCTTCCATTAGGCCCCATTTCCAACATTGGTGTTCAAATCTTGATATGACTTTTGGAAGCAACAGATATCCAAACCATAGCACCAAATCAAAAAAACTCCTTTCTTTCTCACATGTGAAAGGAGAAAGAAGGCAGCCATGTTTGGCTAGCAGTACTGGTTGGTCTGTCTCCTGAAGAAACTTCTCTGCTAATGTTCTTCAAAGACCTGCTACTGAAGGGAAGACTGTTTCCTAAGATCGAGCTGGTTCAAAAAGAATACATCCAATAGGTAGCAAAGAAAGGTCTCGTCCCATTTGACAGGAGACAGGATTCATTGTTGCTGACTTTCTGGATACCAAGAAGGGATTCAAGCCAGGAAGTCATTAGCTGATTGCAGCAATTTTTGCACAAATGTGATTTCAAAGTGTGACTCTCATCTTGCCAACTTTGTGAGGTAAGGATCTAGCCAAGGATGGAGAGTGTTTCATAAACATTCCGTTAGCATTGCTAGAAACCACAGAGCCCAGTGATATCACTGCCAGACAGTTGTGCAGTACCTAAAACAATTGACACTAGGAATCTGAATTTGAGACCAGCCTGGGAAACATACTTAGAACCCCATCTCAGAGAAAAAAAAGTAGCCAGGTATGGTGGTGAGCACCTGTAGTCCCAGCTACTCAGAAGGCCGAGGTGGGCGGATTACTTGAGCCCAGGAGTTCGAGACTGCAGTGATCTATGATGACATCACTGCACTCTAGCCTGGGTGACCCAGCAAAATCCTGTCTCAAATTTAAAAAAAATGAATGAAAGAAAATAGAAATCTTAGAGGGAAAACAAACTGTGGTAGGATGGCAGCTTTCTTCTGTCCACATATGCTGAGCTGAGATTTGGTACATTTGGTAGTGAAACACCTGATGTTAGAATTCTATGGAAAGTTAAAATCAAACCAGGGGTCCAGTCTCCCCAAACATGCTATCTAAATAAGGTCATTATCAGCAATACTCAATGAATGCCAGGGGGCTGCTTGGTACCCTACTTTGGGCTCAGATAGACTGAGGAGTATGGGGAAGGCAGTTCCTGGTCTACATTGTCTTTTCCTGAGGGACTCAGGAACTCTCTTCTGCTAGGTAGGGCTTACGTAATCTTTTCAAAATGATACAACCCATGATTGGTCTTACCCAGGGATGGCATATGACCTGTTTGGTAGGGATTATAATCTTTCACCTACAGAGCTATGGACAGCTCCAAATTAGTAGTTCCTTTAGATTGTAAGGATAAATTTCTACTCCCTGGAACTGGGTTCTTGAATTCACCATGACCCCCAACCTGCATTCGGCACATTTTTCTTCATTCTTGGTACATTTCATACCTTATCCTGTAGGTAGGAACAAATTAGTTACCCAACTTCTCTCCCACCTCCACCTCCACCAAACTAATTTATCTGTATTTGCTAAAGGAATCCTCTGAATGGAAGACAATGCTCCTCAGCCTCCAGGAAGAATCTAAAGTGGGCAAATAGGAAAGCAAATCAGAGAGCAAAGGATAAATCTCTCTTAAAGCATTTGTTCATTCATTCATTCAAAAAATATTTATTAACTACTACTCAGGAGGCTGCGGCATGAGAATTGATTGAACCCAGGAGGCAGAGGTTTCGGAGAGCTGAGATTGTGCCACTGCACTCCAGCCTAGGCGATGGAGCAATGCTGTCTCAAAAAAAAAAAAACTCACAAAATGTTATTGAGGTCCTATTTTGTGCTATGCTCTGTGATAGACACTAGAGATGCCGTCATGAACAAGACAAATATCTCTGCTCTTAGGAGTTTATAGTCTGAAAAAGACAGAGAAGGTGATAAAATATTCAATTATAAATTCAAATAAGTGCTTCAAAGGATAAAAACTGGATAATAAGAGGCAAAAAGTGGAGGGACAAACCTACTTTACTTTTACGGTCAAGGAAGGAGGTCACATTAAAACAAGACCTGAGGATCAAGGAATCAGTTGTGAAAAATCTTTCTTGGAGGGGTATATACTGTACTTTGAGACACTGTGGTAAGAATAGACTTGAGTGTTCAAAGAATTAAAAGACAGGTCATGTGGCTGGAATATTGAGGGGAGGGAGAGTATTTGAAAATGAAATTGGAGTTGGATGTGGTCGCTTACACCTGTTATCCCAGCACCTTGGGAAACTAAGGCAGGAAGATCCCTTGAGTCTGGGAGTTCGAGACCAGCCTAGGCAACATATTGAAACCCTATTTCTACAAAAAATACAAAAATCAGCTGGCTGCAGTAGCACATGCCTGCAGTCCCAGCCACTTGGGAGGCTGGGGCTAGGTGGCAGGACTACTTGAGTTTGTGAGGTTGAAGCTGGGAAGTCAACCTTGCTGTAATGGCAGCTCCCCCACCCTGCTACCACTTACTAAAAACTATGTAATATCATTTCTAGAGTACAGGGAAGAATGCTTGTGGGGGAATGATAAGGGAGGAATATTTGGTTTCCTATGAAATCACCAGGCTTTAGAAAGAACTGTGCCTGACTATAAATAATGCTATGTCAAGTATGTGATTTTCAATATCAAGATTAGCACAATTAATATAATAAATTGTCCTTCAAAAGAGAACTTGATGAACCAGCATTTTAAAAGGAAGTTCTGATTGAAGTAATTGTGAAATCTTCAGATTTGACTCAGTTTCCCACCTAACTTCCTCAGTGATACAACCAAAGTGACACAGGGTCAAAATAAGTACATCTTTATTGGTGTGTATTCCATGCCTAACACTGTGATAGATGTGGTGGCTTCAAAGACATATGGATGGCCTCTGTCCTCAAGGACTTTAAAATATAGTAGGAATGGTAGAAAGAGTACACCAA